CATAGGATAATAAAAATGTATGTTCTAATATTTAATTAAATAGGTACAGATGAGTGCACAATACTATAATCAGTAAAACTTAACGACAATCAATTGTATTTCAATTCATTGGATTCCTTGGTTTCTTTGTAAGCATAAAGTTTTTGGTTGAATGACTTTTTTTTTTAGCATTTTGTAACGTTGCATTTTTCCAGCCCAGTCAATGTGTTAAAGTCCATTACCACATTCCTACTAAATCACATAGAAATATTGTATAGTATTTTTTCCAAAACATCCCACATCCCCCCACCTACCCCCTACGGCCCTTCCACCGACCCCTACGAGTTTTTTATGGCATAATTATTAAATCATCATCACTTATATAGTTCTTCAATACACAATTCTTCTTTTTACGTACACAAACTTAAGTTAAATCTAGAGTATCATTAATGTAAACAATGAAAGTTTCGCATCACTTTATGAGTTATCTTATGTAGCCTGATTAAACCACGAAGACTTACGTCCATTTCTATTCTGTTTTAAATTAATGCTGAAATTGGTACAATGAATAAACACGATATATATTCATGACATGTCTTATTAATTAATAAATTTTACCTATACATAAAAAAATAAATAAAAAGAAATGTTAAATATTTCTATGTCTCCTTCTTTAATTCCTAACAATAATTTCGAAAATTTATTATTACTAGAGATATTATTTTGTAATCATAAAATTTCAAAGAAGTTCCACAAAAATAATGATTTAATAGTTTCTTCTATTATTATAGTTTAATTATTGTTTTTTATAACTGTAAGCATTTGTCAAAAATCTCCTTCTAATACTATTAATTCATCGCCAAAGCAAAGTTTTGTATTACACAAGTCTCTCAACTTTCTATCAACGATTTCTAGAGCTTTTTTCGGAATCATAGAAGCCTCGTCCCATATTATTAAATCAACTTTCCTTCACTCTTTTTTTTTTAGTTTTAAATTCTAAAAATACACTTTTGATATTATCCAAGTCTAGAGGTAAACGAAAAGTTCTATGACTGGTCATACCTTTTGGTAGTGATACAAATGCAATTACTGTCCAAGCCATTGACAAAATATTCTTACCTCTAAAAATAAAGTAATAAATGAGTGTCTTATATAAGTAGGTTTTTTCGGATCCACCAGGACCATCTATGAAATATACTTTTTCATCTTGTTCACAAATAGTTTTAAAAATTTTTCTTTGATCTTCATTTAAATTTGTGTACATTATATCGAACATTTTTTTACTGAAAGATATTTCCCAAATATTGCAATTATTTAAATAGTTGCTATTGGTTGGTGTCAGTTAACTAAAAGACTCACATGATTTACCTACCGATACCAAAATTTGATTAATATGTAGAAGAGCACAATTATTATTATCATTATCGAAGTCTTCCGTAAAATATTTTTTACATTCATTTCATATTTTATCTCTTTGAATGTTTTCTGAAATCAAAAACCAAGCAAAAAATTGTCTTAACTGGTATGGAAACATAATTGTTATGGCTTCTTTAAAAATATTGTCGATTTCAGAATCATGTTCTATTAAACCCATTGCAATTGCAGTATCCCTGAAATTTTTATGTTATTCCATTGTTTTTTAACGTCTTCAAACGATGTAGCCTCATGTAATTTATTTAAAATAAGTTTTTTAAATTTGAAAAATAAAAAAGTTAAGAATAAATAAGAATAAATACACAAAAAATTGTAAAAATGTATTTCTCATAAAATATTCAAAAGTTAGGGGGTTGGTGCGCAGTGCGCGCAGGGGGGCATGAGGTAAGAGGTAAATCTCTACTTCCTAGTATTTTTAACACCAAACCAGATTCATTATCCATTTAAACATTAACAGATACTAAGTCACAACAAAAAGCTATTGCTGGTAGCAATCATAGCATAGCAGTATAACTTAAGCAAGTAACTTGAAATAAATATTTAACCCTTCATCACAACCGTCAACTTATACAACTTCTACAAATAGAAAATATGAAACTGGACCTCAAAGATCAGTGGGACTTAAGTTTGACACTGACTCATAAAGTACAGTAGAAGATGAAATGGTCGCTGAAATAAGGGAAAAGTCCAAGCTGCAGTCCACTGCTCGTGAATCAACGGATAAAAATGCTTTGAAAAGCAGTTTAGATAAAAATATAGCTAAACAATAGTCTTCAACTGATAGATTGCAAAATACAAATTTTGCTGACCCATCTTTATATTAAGATTGTTAAATACCGTCACCAACATTAAAAAATAACAAATCAGAGTCAACTGAAACGACTTTTTAGTATTTAAAAACTTCTTCTAATAATGTTCTAGACTATTTCGATAACTTCGAAAATTCTACAGAAGAAGGAAGCTTTCCAATAAGATCAAAATCACCTATAAGACGCTCCAAGGTTGCATCTACAGTCACAGGAGACGATGTCGATATTAAATGGAGAGCGCTTATCGTCACTACCATTAAACAAGAATATAGTGAATAAGCTAGAGAGAAAGAAGAAACGCATAGTGGCATACCTAATACACTTTCTCATTTACGTGCTAAGTAGTAAGACTAATTCATAAAACAGTATTATTCCTCTAAGCAAAGTTACTTGAAACTATTTACTAGTCCTATAGCCACATTTAAAAAGTTAGAGCAGCAATGGAATGCCAGACGCGATGACCAAGTCAGTCTTAAAAAAAACACTATCATTACAACTTTGATAAGAGCAGAAATGGATCACCTCAAAATATTAAGCACTCGAGAATGTTTTACATATGTTAAGGACAATATTGCAACGTTTATGCCGGCTAACTCGACGCCTAATTCTATTGACAACAAATTATAATTTCATTTAAATTATATTAAAAAATTCGAATTAAATAAAATTCTACCACAAGTAGGTGACGTGATAACAACTAATTATAAAAATAAATTAGTCTTCGATTTGGTTATCAAAGAAAAAGAAAAAGATGAAATATTACTTCACGATCTTAACTAATGCTCACCAGACTTAACCAAAGCAATAGATAATAAAAGTATACAATCATTGAAAATATCCAGAAAGAACAAAATAACTAACAAATTGCCCAGAGGAGTATTGCTCAAAGCAATTTATAACGAACTTAGTCATGTAGACATTACAAATAACTATACGTTTTGTTAAATCTGCTTATTTATTAAGCAAAATGAGACAACAAAAATTATTAAAGTGCTACAATAGTCTATTTAGCACACACAGAAGTATGAGCAAAACTTATAAAAATATACGAGAATTCTGATACTGAGAAAGTATGAGAAAATATATCGAAAATTTTGTACAAAATGCAAACTTTACCTAGAACAAAAACTGGCACAGATAAAAACAAAAGAACTTAATGATAATAACTGATACTCCATCTAAAATTCTCTTGAAAAAAGCCATTGATACTGCAGGACTATTAGCAACCACAGCATCTTTAAATAAACGTATAATAACTATATGATCTTTATTTTCAAAATACTGTGTGGCAGTAGCTATACCCAACATCCGAGCTATCATAGTCGCAGACACTCTGACAAGACACTTTATAGCGTTGTATGAAGTGCCTTAATTAGTACTCAGCGATTATGGAAAGAATTTTCGAAATAATATATGAACAAATTTAGCCTAAATTTTTGGTTTGAACCTTAAGACCACTACCCCTTACCATCCCCATCTAACGGTTTGCTAGACCCTAGTTATGCCATGCTTGCAAGCTTTTTAAAAACAAAAGCTAAAATAAACAGGACTGGGACAAAGTTTAATCTTTTGCTATACATAAATACAATACATCACGGTACACAGCTACCAGATTTACTACATAAGAATTAGTATACAGCAGAAGAGCACGTCCAATAAATCCATATACAACTAAAAATCAAATACTGTCTCATAATAAATACATTATTAAGTTGATCTATTATTTAAGAGATATGCATAAAAAATCCCACAATAAACGCATTAAGCGTAAACATAAAAAAAAACTAAATCATAATAAGCATGCTAGACCTCAGAATTTTGAAAACAATATGAAAGCTCACCCAATAAGGAAGGCTCGAAGAAAAAGATTAGATTAATATTTTAACAAAATTTTTATAACTACCGAAATAAATAAATTTAATAACAATTTAATTTGATGTGTGTGTGTGTGTGTGTGTGTGTGCATGGCTGCTTGTGATTGGCTGAAGGAGACAGCAGGAGGGATCGTTTTTCTCTCTCTAGCCCGTCTAGTGCTAATCACTGGCAACTGTACCCATGTATATATGCTCGAAGCAGTTTATTTACATGCAAGAATTTATGCTTGATTTTGACTGGAGGGAGTATATTCTCTGCATTGGTTAGGAGAAAATAACTGACACTACTTGCTTGCCAACATTTTCGATGTTGTAAACTTATACAAATCAATAAAAATTTAACGGTTATTTCATTTTTTTTTTAGTTGTACTTTACAAGGTTTATACATACCTCCTAATTTTTGTCACATTGTTCTCAAAGCAGTTACCTGTTCAATCATATTCTTAAATAATAGATATGTTAGACATTACAGATGAAACTGTCTTGTATTTCTTTAATTCAAGAGTATAAATTTTATTGACTGAAAAATTTTCTCCTGTCGGTTTGCTTTAGTTGCAGTTCCTTATTCTCACAAACAGCTGAGCTTTTAATTAGTTTAATTTAGTAAATGGACTTTAAGAAATTAGATTTTTCTTATTCATTTTAATAAAATTATAGCTTTACGCTTTTTAGTGAGCACACGTAATACATAAATTTAATGAATTTTTAATATTTTCTGAAGTTCTATGTGTAGCATTAAATATTCAGTCCAATATTATTAGCAATTAGTAGCAACAAGTCCCTTAGAAGCAAAGTTACAAACTATTATACGTACCTAACATAAAACTAAATTAATCATAAGCTTACATTTATAAAAAAACAATATACATCAAATGATTCGTACTTCCTTAAAATTATGATTACCTGGTGGCAGTAATACTGTTGCTATGCAAGATGTACCAGCTACAACCATACATATGCATAATGGCCACCTGCGTCCCCAACGATCCATAACAAACCAACATGCTACGTAACTTGGAATTTCAGCTAATGATGAAAATAAAAAGCTTAAGTGTTCTTCATCTCCAAGAGCTGGTCCATAATATGATAATCCCACATAAACCATATTATTTGCAAACCTACAACCAGTTAAATAATCAATCTGTATGCTAACAATTTTGTTCAATGGAAGATATTTTTTTTAACTTTCAGTTTCGTGCATTACATAATCTCATTAATAACAAGTTTTTTCTTCTCTTATCAAGTTCAGAGTTATTAAAATTATTGCTCTACTTAAAAATAAAATGTTCATACTTTTCTTTATATCTAACAATAGCTTAGAAGATGTTCTATCGTCAGTTTCCATAAACCTTTACAAATTCTAAAAGATATTGAATTTAAATTAGTACTATGGTCTTAGAAATTTGGCATGGCTAACACAAATGGGAACAAAAATAACTTAACAACACTGTGCATTTGATGCCTTTATAAGGGTACTGTCCACATATCTTCTTCTACTTAATCTGCCTTCAAATTTATGATCTCGTATTGTTGTTCTAATAATAAGTGCATAATTCATTCAGATTGCTAATTTAATACATTATTTTAAATTTTTTTCAACAAATCAAAAAAGATTTTATTAATTAGTCACATAGCATCAATCAAGAGAGTAGCAGTTGTACCATCTATAAATAGTTACCGATTTTCCTTTCAGATACTAGTGCCAATTCGGATAAACAGACATTTGATTTAATTTAGTCTCAAAACCTATTTTACCAATGTGACCAAAATTGTAACTTACGTATGTTTGTCCACCAGATAATATTACAATAAAATAAGCATAAGCAGTATTTTTAAATATAAATTTACATGGGAGCAAAATGCAGGGATGTAAAACAATGATTCTCAACATTTTCTCTCGAGGAAAATGTGAAAAAAGGAGTTTTTCAATTCTACTATATTTAAATTTAATAAAATTCTTATAAAAAAAGCACCACGACGTATTTCATAAGGGAGCATAGTTTTTATTACCATTGTGGTGCAGTCCAAGCTTCAACGCTTCTTGTTAATTAAATTATTTTGTTACGTACAACAGCATATATCTCTGCGTGCGTGCACCTCTGCTGGCTTGGGCCTTAAAGGTAGGGGAATAGAGAAGAGAGGTGATAGGAAAAATAGAGAGAAGGGACGGGGAAATCAGCTAGAAACGCGAGAGGGTTAGGACGGAGTCCACGAGACGAGAAGACACGCACAACTTCGCTCTAATATAAGGAGTTCTAATAAAGCATAAGTAACAATAAGTCACGCTTCTATTTATTTCCGCACCGAGAATCCCACGTAACAGGTGGTGTCAGAAAAGGGATACGGAGAAAATTTTTTCCGGTCTGTCGCATGCGCGAAAATCACTGAGTCTTGTGAAACGAAAAAAAAATTTTTTAATTATTTTTTTCTCGACTTTATTGACGCAATAAATAAAAAAAATAAGAAGAAATATATCGCTCGTCGCAGAGAAAAAAAAGCGTCGAAAGTGCAAGACGCCAAATTTAGCGTGTCAAGTGCCACAATATAAGAGAAATTGAAAAAGTAAAGGGGAACAGAAAAATATAATTGGAAAAATCTTCGATACTGCAAGAATACCAGACAAGGAAAAACTGCATATCAAGCCAGTGAAACAATATACCAGGAGACGAGAGGCAGCTACCGTTTACATAACTCAGAAAAATACAGGCAAAGAAAAGAAAGCACAGTACGCCAAGCCCAGACTACAGCTACAGTAGGAACACGGGATACACGGCACAGAAGAAGGGAACAACGAGCAAAGGCAGAGGCTGAGCTACTCCCGGAAGGATCAAGAAAGGGATTTATAAGTATGCACAGGATTGTTGTTATGCTGACCACCTTCACGGCGATTTGGTGAGTCAATTCTCATTTCTCGTATTTACTATACTCATAACCCCCGAAGAAAATACGCACCTAAAATAAAAGAGCTTATGTATCAATATTATTTCTAAATTGCAATATCCAAAGACCTTTGTGGCAGCTCATAATTGCATGCACAAGCATATAACCGATACAAACGACAAACGCCCAATACAAAATTTTTTAAATTAATTAATAAATACGAGAAGAAGCCAAACAAAAACAAAAGCGAAAAAAAGAAGACTATCGACTAACATTCAATAGAGACTGCGTATCTATTGGGCTAACACAAAATACACAGAAATGACAGCGTTTTACGATTAGAAACATATATATACGGATAAGAAAAGCACAAAAAAAACTACAGAGAAAAAAGAGACTAAAAAGCAACACTATAAGTAACATGGAAACAAATAATACACTGGGAATGGGAGTACAGAAAGTCTTGAGGTGTACGGATATACACGAAACTGGACCAATTGACACATATGACGAAGTTATACATATTAACCTAGAAGATAATCCGGAATCATGGACAGAGTGGCAGAAGGCCAGCAAAAAACACAAGCTTTTTATGATAAAAATGTTAGGAAAATTCGCCAAGCCCAAAATGCTAACAGTTACCTCATAGACAGGACATAAGCGATAATTAAACTGATGCGCCATCCCTTAGAGAAACACATAGACCCTTTGTATTTGGAAAATTAACTCTCAACACTGAACGTAAAAATGCAACAACTAACATGAATCGACAAGTCACTAATCCACCTAGCGATAAAACACAAGCCAAACATGTCACAAATCTACACGATATAGTAAGAGAAGCAGCAGCACAATTGATGCAACTATATACAAATCAAATACCTACACTTACCCAACCAAAACATCTATTATTACAACAGACATACGGAGAAGTTAAACGGCGTCAAACACAAATGCAAGCCCCAGTAGCTCAAGGCAAGCAAAAAATTAAGAACGATAGCGTCACTTATGATACAAACCACGACAATAATTATTATAGACAAAACACAGCGGTACCATTTCATTCTGCAGGAGAAAACAAGTCAGGCTGGGTAAATAAAAATTACTTAAGCGCCCAAGACTGATTTACAGCACCCCTACATTACACAGGAAATTTTAATTACAAACGCCCAATTCGGATTACGCTGTCGTCACTAGGTCACATGGCAGCAAACATACCGATATTTGACGGCGATTCGGTTAAACTATCCCTTTTTTAACAAATGGTAAGAGTAGATCATGGACAGTGAGCCCCGTACATGAAAAATTTTTTATAGGCTCTCTAGCAAATAAGCTGAAAGAAGCAGCCACCGAATTTTTACCACGCCTGGCACAGTTCTTCTCTGTAGATGAATTGTTGGTAAAATTAAAAAATAGATATTGCAGCATCGGGAGCGTTGACACGTTATTGGAAAAATTAAAAGTAGTGAAACAATACGGAGGGAAATTAGTAGAGGATTACAGCAGGCGCGTTCGAAAATTATAAGGTAGAATAATAACCCTATACGATTCGGACACGACACTTTTACCCGGGCAACGATACTCATTAAAGAACAGCGCTGAAAAAAAAGCTATAAAGCAATATACGTACGAGATACAAGCACTTTGCAAGTACGGGGTAACATGCCTTAACCCGTAAACGTTTGGCGAAGTTATAGTAGCCGTGCTGAAAATAAAAAGTGACTTAAGCCTACGAGTAATAATGCTGGCACGAATCGAGGCCGAAATATACCGAGCTAGAGCAGAAACAAGAGACACGGACAATCGTGCAAGCAGCCATGAGCAGGCTGAAGTACGCGTCGCAACAGATAAAAATAAAATAACAGAGGACTGTTATTGCTCATATTGCAATGAATACGGAGAGCATGCTACAAAAGTATGTATGAAATTAGTAGCAGATGCAGCGAATAAGAGAATTCAAAACCCAGAAATTAAGGCAAACGATCTACTAGTGCAGATATCACAAGATAAACAAAGCAAAAGGGATAAAAATTGCGCTTTCTCCAAATGCAGGGATCACTACACAACTGAATGCCGCACACGAGTAAGAGACGCAGAGAACGGGAGAATAAATTGGAGTGACGGACGCGAACAGTTCAACAATTTTAACAGGGAAAATACGGAAGGAAATTTTAAATACTGGAATAATTATGATTACCCCCTTAATACGTAAAGCCAAAACTATAACAACAAATAATCGTCTGAATAATCCTTCTATAAAGAAGAAAACCCCCTAACAATACAGGCAACAACAGATATTATAACTATAACAGAAACGCTGATTACTCAAGAAATAATAATAACAATTACAACAACCAGTACGGTAACTACAATAATTATAGAGAAAATTATAATTATAACAGAAATTATAATAGGGATAAAAATTATAACGACAGAGGACCTCCAATTAGAAAAAAATAATGCTCCTGATGGAAAAATATCCACGCGTAGCACAGAACATTTAAACTCACAGGACGCTCGTCGTGCTCACCAAGCACCGAGCGGGCCCCAATAATAGAGAAGCAGATACAGCATAAAAACGAAGCGGAGTCAGCTGAAGGAGAGGAGCAAGCAGATTCCAATAAAATACGCATCGGAGGTAAAGATAGCGAGACATCACGCAAAGAATAGTATACGAGAAATAAAACAATCAAAGTATCACTAGAAACAAACTCCAAACAGGCTTCTTAAACGGTTGAGAATGCTCATAAAGACGAAAGAGTTAAAACATAATGTATAACTAGTTGCCCTTTAGCTGGTAAAGAAAAAATCCATGAAAGCATAAGCCTACCTCTCCACAAGGTAAATATATCGAGTACTGGAAGCACACCACCATCAGTAATATTGAACAGCAATCAGCTGCAATCTTGTAGCGCAAAATGTTACGCGGATACTAGTGCCGAAGTATCAATTATAAAAGAATGCTGTCTCACTACAGACATGCATATAGAGAGCAGAGAAAAAATCCTAATAACTGGCGTCATACATGGAGCACGCTGCACGTTAGGGACTACTAAAATACCTTTTAACGGTATAATAATAAATCTGCATGTAGTCCCCGATACCTTTTCGATAGAAATGGAAGGCATTATTGGCTGGGACGTTTTTAAGTTGTATAGTGGCCTCATAAGCATCAAAACACGGGATACACGGCACAGAAGAAGGGAACAACGAGCAAAGGCAGAG